TCAAAACCAAACCTAATAAAGTTTTTATCTTTAATATACGATGATACACATATATATATATAACTATATATAATACACTAATCACATCCATTAATAGGTTCATTATTTTTAAAACCATTAAACCATTATTAAAAACATAATCATACTCAAAGCAATCCAAAATCTCATTTTCTTTTAAAGACAAACTCTTTTAACCTTAATTTTTATTTTAAATAATTATTTAATCATTTAAATAATAAATCAAAATCTAAGGAATAATTCCTTTAATCCAAAACCTATAACCACTAATAAATGATTTTATTTATTTAAGTCATAAAGTAAAGATTTATACTTTGGTAATTCATCCATGCCTTCTCCAATATTATTTTATTATTATATATAAAATAATACACTAACTTGCAAATACTATATTATTCTAATTTAAGAATGACAAATCTCAATCCAACCTATACATACAATAACCATAGATGAGATTTTAATTATCTAACACATAACAATTTAATTATGCATTGACAATTCAACCATGTTATTACAAATATATTTATTTATATATTGACAATTCAACCATACCTCATCAAGTATATATATTTATACATTAGCAATTCAACCATACCTCCACAAGTATATTTATTTATATTTTGGCAATTCAACCATGCCTCCACAAGTATATATATTTATACTTTTAAACTAACAACTTATCCATACTTCCTACGTATATATTTTATTCATACAAATAAGGTAATATATTTTTTTTAAGCCTTTGGCAACTCACCCATACCTACAATTCATCCATGTACCAATTTTAGACTCAACGATAATTAATTCATACATAGACATCTCATGCAGATTATAAGCATACCACTAATTTAATAACCATTTCATCCAGATATATCAAGTAAGAATAATAATACTAATAATCTTAATTAACATACATATATATACACATATATTATATAATATATATGTGTAAATTAAATAATATATATATATATATGTATAATCCTTCCTTAATAATCCTTAATTATTTAAAATCACAAATGTATATATATATCAACAATTACATATATATATATATATACACATCTATCAATACAACTCATAAATTAAATAAACCTAATAATCCTTAATTATTTAAATCCAAAATAATTAATAAAGGTTGTCTAAGAGTGATATTCACTCATACGATTGTTTGGGCTAGATATGAGATTAACGCTATATCGGTAAATCCAAATATAAGATTTGTCTGGGAGTGGTATTTCACTCATGAGGTTGTTTGGATTACATCTGAGATTGACACCACATTGGTAAATCCAAACATAAATATACAATTTGGCCTGTGGGAGTTTTTCACAATTATATATATATATATATATATATATATATATATATACACACACACATCTATCCATACAACTCATAAATTAAATAAACCACATATACACATATATAAATATCATCCTTCCATAACTAATTATTAATTTATTATATTAAAAGCAAATTAAATGCTACTAAATACTCCATCTCGTCAAAAACGGTTTCCCATAAATACTCCATCTCGGTTTAAATAGTTTTCCAACACTATCTTATTAAAACGTGAATATCTCATAATAGGATGGGAATCTGATAATGAAATTGGTACCATTGGAAAGAGGACGAAAAATCCTTAAATTTGAGTTCAAGAATGACCCAATTTCGATTTAAGATGACTAAGTTATGACCGTTTCAATTTTCTGTCACAAATATGCAAAATAATAGGCTGAGCTCAAATGCTACTGTGAGCGCGCCCACACCGGATTATATCATTGAGCTCACATAAATGCACCCACGCCAGATTAGCTCACTTGAGCTCACATGTATGCACCCACACCAAATTATTTCACCTGAGCTCACATGTATACACCCACACCAAATCAATCTTCGGTTGACCAAACCTAATCTATGGTCCAGATTCACATGTGCACTCTTTTGCGTACCCCGCAATGCACCGAATCATTCTGTTTATATTTAAACTATTCTAATGACCCAGATCAGTGGTGTAACCTCTTACCATGCATACTACCACACTAGATCATTCACTAGTCATCAAGATCATCCTATGGTCTTGATGTGAGGCGCACCGAAGTGCTGTGTACCTCGAAACACTGAATTAATTGCCTAGTTTAAAAATTCCAGAAAATATAAAAACCCTAATTAATCCTCTTGGGTCACAGTTCCACCTATACATTGATTTTAAAATATATAAACAACACCTATATATACAAATAAAATCCAATAATCCAAAACTAAAAATATATAATAATTCATACTTTTAAATACTCCTATCTAAATATGATTTAATCCAATAAATTAACTTGATGCTTTTAATTAATCCAAATTAATAATTTAATTAAAGCCTTGATACTCAAGGTGAAATTCTCATGAGTTCTAAGAAGAAAAGTAAAGAAAACTCGCCTGAAGGTTTCGAAACAAAATCGACGCTTCAAGTTTTTATTGTCTCTTCCAATCCCGACGTCCTCTTCCTCTGATCTGGCTCCTATATGTCATCCTTCTCCTTTTCTCTCTCTACCTCTCTTATTTTTCTAACGTGTAAACTTTTAACCCTAAAGCCTTATATATATATTTATACACATTAAAATCTAAATCATATTCCAACTATAACTACCAAATAAAATAATAATAATTTTAAATTATATATATACACATATATTATATATATATGTATATATATATATATGTATATTTCCTTCCATGCTAACTAATTTAAATCATATATATATATATATAATTATGCAAAGATAATTATTTAAATATCTTTATAACCATGGGCCCTCATTAATTAACCCAACAAGGCTTTATTCAAGCCCAAGACCACATCTTTTGGTCCCACTCATCTTAAGCCCAAATCTAATTAATTTAAATAAATCAAATAATTCAATAAACACTTAAATTAAAATAACTAATTACATGAAGTACATAAACAAAGTAAGAAATTACAACCAAGTCACACCATACCAATAAAATCAACACACCAACAATTCAATCAATAATCAAGTACACACACAAACAATCATCATATATAATCACGAAATATAATTTAATTAAAATAAGATAATTAATCTAAGCACTCAATTAAATAAAGTAAATCATTTAAAAATAAAAATAAAAGCAATTAAACCCAAATAATCAAACAAATCATTTAAAAATAAAATAAAAGTAATTAATTCTAGTTAATAAATCCTTTAAAATATTGGGGTATTACATTGCTTGTTGTTCACTTTGTCAAGATGATTACTGTTTAATGATTTTGATCTCTAAAATATTTCACTTTGCACATATTCACACTTACATGAATTTTGTAGGGTATACACTGGAAGTCTTGTTTTGCTTTGTGTTAAACTAAGATGAGCAGGTGAATTTGATGATTTTTATATTCAAGGTATAAAAAAATATAGAAAGAAAGAAAGAATTAATATGTATGCAATAAATGAAAAAAAAAAAAAATTATTCACTAATGTGAAAAAAAATAAATAAATAATGAAGAAAAGAAGTAGAAAAGGGTCAAGTTCAGGTCTGTACCTAGATTGCTTGAGCAATTAAGTCCTTAGGGGTGTGTTTTGACACCTAATACCCTAAAGCCATCTGGTTTAGGAGTCATTGGCTAAAAGTTTATTACATAAGGGGTTTAAGTTGCTTAAATTACTTGAGCAATTAGGTCCGGATGGGTGCTTTAACATTTAATATTCTAAAACCATCTAGTTTGGGAGTCATTGGCCGAAAGTTCGCTACATGGGTGATTTAGAAAGCTTAATAGACCTGAGCATTGCACAGTACCCTTTTAAAAAAATGCATACCTGTAGAAACTAGAAAACAATACCTTGGGAATTGGAATTTAAAACGTTTGCCTGTAAATTAAGGGATAACATGGAATAAATACAAGTATGGATACCCCCCCCCCCCCCCCCAAACCCTCCCCTCTCTCTCTCTCTCTCTCTACAACTGCAAAAGTACAATATCTTACAAGAATCAGAAGTTCAAAACCCATATTTTTCAGTTTATCTATTTGTATGCAAGAATCGAAAGTTCAAAACCTGTTACCTATATCAAAACCCATATCGGCATATCATTTCAGATTGTTCAAAAAATCAAAACCCATATCTTTCAGTTTCCATCGCCCGCTGTTCCAGTTTGGGTTCGTTGTTCGCAAGCTTCAGCGGCTGGTCCGCTGTCTCTCAACTCTCAAGCTTGCCCCCCTCTCTCTCTTCGCAACTGCTAACTTGTATGTATGGTTTTGTGTTAAATTTTTTTTTCTAAATCAACTAATCAGGGTTTGTAATTCTTGTTTTGCAAACTAAATCCTATTTGGTGAAATTTGTTATGATCTTTTTTATATAATATATTTTTTTTAGAATATAATTCTCGGCCTTACTTCCAATCACCATGATTAGAAAATTAATCTTTCACTCCAGATGCCCATGGGCTGATCCAGAGTCCAGGTGTCGGGATTTTTTACCACGTGACATGATAATTTTCGATCATAATTATAGGTGTTAACAGAGAGTTTCTCCCTTTAAGTAGTTTTATGTTTTTTTTTTTTGGATAAGTCAGTCGCTGTATTAATAAGGAAAAGGCTTAAGCCTCTAGACATGCGTTAAGTGGCAATCCCCAGCTATACAAAAAAATCCTAGAAATTCCAAGCCCACCAGTGAATATCAAAAGAAGCAGTTCTATGAACCATACAATAGCCACACCCCTCAAAACACAAAAAGAATATGTATGCATGTAATGGAGGATGGATGCGAAAAAGAGACTTTCATTTCCTTGTCTCCGTTGATGTTATTGTGTTTATTTTATTGTTTTGGAGTATTAAATTCAAGGAAAAAGGAGAAAATCCTCGGTTCTAACAGAAAAATAAATAGAAAAATGTTCAAAATGTCTTTCTTGCTTCGACCACTAAAAAAAAACTCGGGAGTTTATTCAACAATGAAGCCCACTAAAAGAAATTGAAAAAGTAAAGTAACAAAATTATGATATTGCAGTAAAGAACTTTTCCAAGGATAGCTTAGACAAACATATAATTAAAGGATTATCAAATCTGCTGCAGCAGGAAGTTTGCTTCCAAGCTTCTTGGCACGCTTTCTCGCTATTGTTTTCCTCTTTTGGTTCGTGAACTCCCATGGAGTTCCTATAATGGATGGACTGCGAGGATCAAAAATAATCTTCTCAAGATTCACAGCACTCTTAATTAAATACATGGCAAGCTCAACATCATTTGTACGCCCAACAAAACCAATTAGTTCCACCACCTTAAGGTAATGATGGGGCCGAGACGTAAACTTATGCTGTTTTCTTTTCCGAAGGGACTTGAACCATCGTAGCTGTAACAAGGAGGAATGGAGTCATGTGGCGGGCAGACTATTAGTATACAAAACCAAATTACCATCATAATTGTTCAAGTTAAAATCACAACATTGCTAGAATCAATGAAATAGCCACCACGGGCTCCAAAGAAATCGAACACCTGTGATGGAAGACCATTAGCGTACAAAACCAAATTACCAAACATCAAATCAAAACTGTTCAAGTATCACAACATTGACAAATTCAAATACTAATCCTAATCGACATTTGTGTAACCAACCTGATCCCGACGATAATAAATACATCGTGTGACAATAATAAGGTAGGAAAAAAAAAACCCCTAAATATTGAATATAGAATGACTTTTCTATTATACGATTCCAAGTACTAAATTGATCGTCGACTCTATTACATGGATTCTTTAAAAGTAATGAAGTACCCGTGTCGGACAATATATCCCTCGGACATTAGAATAAGATATGTGTCCGACACTTTTGATTAAACATGTTCTTAAAAAGCATATTCAATCATTCAATTACATTATATTATTGCTTTAAAATGAGTTAAATGTCTATATTGAACATGATAAAAACATTACTTTACTCTAGAAAATAAAATAAAATAAATATTTAACCGAAATGAAATAAAATAATTAATAAAATAAATATTTAGCCGTGTCCGTGTGTCATTCTATTTGGAGATCTGACACGTTCGACGCATGGATACATACCCAAGTCAGACACCCGTACCCGAGCCCATATAACATAGATTGTCAGACAGTCTTCGGCCGGCACCCCACCGGTGCCGTTTGAGGTGACATTCCATTATTTTGAAGGTAAATGTTGTTGTCCCAGGTCACGAGGAATTTCGCGGCAGCACTAGTAATATTGTAATTTTGTAATAGCTATAAAGAAGCAATTACGAAAGCAACTCCAGAAGAAAACCAAATGAATCAAAATTTTCGTTTGAAAATTCAATTACGAAAGCAATAAAGCTCACAGTTCAGAAATGCATATCGTAAAGTAAAACGTATTACCTCCAACACAAATTTAGACAAGAAAGGGCATGCCTCTATCAGGAAAGTAAAATCCATAAGGCTTTCATCATCTATTGCATTAATTATCACCTTCAATCGCTTGAGTTTATTAAATACAGGAAATTTAGTATGTCGAAGATAAATCTGAATAAACCAAAGAAAAAGTAAAGATTGATAATTATGTTAAAAAAAAAAAAAGAATAAAATAAAAATGAAGGGGAGGAGATCAAATGAATCATTTAAACTTCCTAACCTTCCTCATAGAGGTCATCTCTAGTGCAAGGCTCTCTAGTTTAGAAAGATAGCTTGAAATATCCAAAAACTTATATATTAGATAAATGCAATATTCACCCCCGATATACAAATCCACAGGAGATTGGACATTCTTAAATGGCAAACTTATTTTTGGTCCGAAGTACTTAAATGAGACGAGATTCGTCGCAGAAATCTCAATACTTTCCACATTAAAGCAGAAAGTTATCTCCAAACGCTTCAATTTGAGTGCTAGATCAGGAACTTTCAGATTTACAAGAGCGTCAGATTCTTTCACATACAATTGTTCCAAATTTGGGAAGTTAGTTAAGAAGTACTCGAGAACTTGTCCAGTTACATTGACGTGTGTCAATAGGAGATTGGTCAAGAAGTTGCAACTAGTAAATCCAAAAGGCAATGAATGCAAGTGATTTATAATACCATCCGGGTCAGGAAAATTGTAATCCTCTTCCTCTCTACTATAATCAGTACATTCTGCCAAGTCTAACTCAAGGATTTTAACTCTCTTTTCCATTGCAAAGTTAACCCAATTGTTAATATCAAGTGTGGAACTTTCTCCAAAATCAAATCGAACTCTGAATTCATCTATAGTTGGAGCGTTGTGGGATGTCAAGACTTGATTAACCCAACTCAAATACAATGGCCTTTCTACTTCAACTTCCTTTTGTCGCTCACAGATTCCTTGGATTATATGTGAGGAGGGATCAAAGTTCAAACGAGTAATGTGTGTCCACATGTACCTCCATCTCTTTGATAGGAAACTAGTTCTTGCAGCTTCTTTCATGGTCAATAGTTTCAAGATTGAAACGAGTACACCATCAGGAAGTCCACTAACGCGATCCTCCAAACACAACCCACCTTTATCAACCTTCTCACTATTGCAATTAAAGATAAAAAAAATAAAAATAATAATTAAGAAAGCGTGATAACAGAAAAACTTCGGTACTGCTTAATTTTTGTAATAAACAAACCAATATATAGAGATATATGATAAATCCATACATAAGTAAAAAGATGGTACCTTGCGTTTTCAGCACAACGCATTGAGGTGGGTGTTTTCTCCATGGAAATTGATTTTACAGTTATTTTTGTATAATTTAAAAAATAAGTCTGCAGATCATAATATGAACAGATTAGAGATATAACAAAACGAGAACAACAATTTTATATAGAGTAGAGGGTTGAATTGGGTCTGTACCTAATAACATGTTTCTTATTAGGATTAGGAAATAAAATTTTGATATTTGTTTTAGGCAACTTGATATTTGGAAAGTACTTGCTAGAGAAAAAAATAAAAAGAAAATAGAATAACCACCGGCGTTGCTGCATGTATATTTGAAAAAAAGAAAGAAAAAAATAGAATAATCACGGGTTTTGCTCATATATATGTTCAGGATATTTTGAAAATAATAATAATAATAAGCTGCGCACCGGATTGGTGCATACTTTTTTTTTTCTTTTCAGGGTACAAAAGATCCAATATATGACATGTTTGGTTCAATTAATAACAATAAATAAATAAAAACAAAGAAAATTCTTTTCAAAAAATTAAAAAGAAAACTGATTCTAAAAATAAATCCGGACAAAGAGCAAAAAAAAAAAAAAAAAATAGACCACAAAATCCGATCTTTGTCTCTGACAAGAGCAAAAAAAAATTACAGAAGATATTTTCATTTTTGATAGTGAAATCAAAAGTTACATATCTTCTATTTCTATACAATGAAACAAAGAAAATTCTTTTCAAAACATTATAAAAATAAATCAGATCTTCGTAAATTTACAGAAGAGATTTTCATGAATTTTTCATGATGAAATAAAAAATAAAAAATTACAGATCTTCTATTTCTATACAAGAAAACAAAGAAAATTCTTTTTAAAAAAATTATAAATAAAAACAAAGCAAATTCTTTTCAAAAAACACGAGCAAAAAAAAGAATAGATGACGAAATCCGATCTTTGTCTCTGACAAGAGAAAAAAAAAAAAAAAAATTACAGAAGATATTTTCATTTTTCATAATGAAATCAAAACTTACAGCTCTTCTATTTCTATACAAGAAAAGAAAGAAAAAAATTTTCAAATAAAAGAAAATCCGATCTTTGTCTCCGACAAGAGCAAAAAAAAAAAAATTTATACAGGAGATTTTCATTTTTCATGATGAAATCAAAACTTACAAAATCTTGTTGGATTCGTATCACAGATCTTGTAAGTGTTGCTTGCGACCTTCAGATCCTTGAGAGAGACAGGGAGTTGGGATCGCATGAGGATGGCGGCTATGCACGGGAACGGAACTGAACAGGACATCTGACACGCAGCTGTAATGCTTCTATTTCTAGCCTTATAGGGTTGATTATTATGTCTCAACTTTAGCAAACCAACGGCTGAGATGCTTTACCATTTAATGGCTGATATCAAATCTTATTTAGGTGATGGGTATATGAATGACTTATCAACTCTTTTTTTGGCTTCTTTTTTGGGCTTCTTAATGAAATTATTTGAGCGGACCCAAAGTTATAGTTATATGGGCTATAAACCTTTTTGAAATAGAATGGTAAATCCGAATGGGTCCTTCCTTGTATCATCTTTATTTAATTAAAGAAGTTTTATGGTTTCCTTTCTATTTTCCATCCCTCACCTTCCTTCTTATCAAAGCACAAGAAACTTTTCTCAGTCTCAAAATTAACGATCTAATGCTAAAGTAAGTGAAGTAAATAAAAATAAAATAAATTTGTTATCAAATATTTGTTTAATATGAAAAAATTTTAACGAGAAGTTACCATTTTATGACTTTAATAATATGAAACTTATTATAAAAAAAATGGTAAAGTATAAAAAAAATACCATTCGTCAAAATGCAATTGGACCCCTAAACTAGGGATTTGGTGTCTACATCCGTCATGTGACGTGGCAACCCAAAATTCATTAAATTTCAACTTATGAAAAGTAAAAGACCATAATATCTCTCATTCTCCATCCTATTATTGTGAAAGAATATGTGTGTAAATGGGTAAGATTGCACAGCGCACACATAAGGAAGGAATTAAAAATGTCAACATTATAGAATAACCGAAAACGTTGCTCTGTCATCTCTTTGGCTTTGGCAATGAACCGCAATTGTCAGGAACCGAATCATAAGACTCAATCGCAAAACCTCATAGAATTTTTATGTCACGATCACCAAGCAAACCCAATCCAAAAAATCTCAACCCATCGCCAAATCCATATTATAACAGAACTTGCCGCTGCAAGCTGCAACAGCCACGTCGACGGGTCTTGCCGTCGGAACACCATCACAATATTCTCACAGCCACCGCCGATTATCAAGCCTTTATTGTCATTGGTTGAGACTTTCGCCGTCGCCACCGGAATAATTCTTGCTGTTACCAAACTCTAGAGATAAAGAATAAAAAAAAAACAAACAAAAAGGAAAAAAAAATTCTTACTGTTGCCATCGGAATCTCTCACCGTCCTATTCCTCGTCAAAAATCTTTACCGAAGTTGGCTCTGTTCATTGTCGCCGCTACAGAGCTAGGATTCTAGGAGAGAACTAGAGGAGGTGTGGTGTGCTCCAGTTGGGCGCCTCAACTCAGGATACTCAATCATGATCGGTAGGTGGGGATTCTTGACTCACTCCGGTTGGGGGAGGCGATTCAGTTTGAGAGAGCTTGGTGGAGGCGATTCAGTTTGAGATAATGCTAGGGTTTTGCGATTCAGTTTGAGTCAACCCGTCTCTCTCTTAAGATTGTCAACTTATGATTGCTTCTTAAAGTTTTTTATTCCACATCACCAACTGAAGTGACTGTGGGTGCAAAACGATCGCTTTTTGCGGTGGGTAAAATATTCTTATAATAAATTAATATATATTAATAGTCCATTATTCTATTTATTTTTCTCTCCTCATTTTAATTGTCTAATTTTAAAATTCAATTGGCTTACACTCTCAATATTAAACTAATTAAAATCTCAAAATAAGTAGACTTAATTAAAAATAATTTTTTCATATTATTTTTGAAACTCAAATTTAGTTAAATATCAATCTAATACATCTTTTAAAAATAACTATCACTTAGGTCCATTCTTATTTTTTCGTTACTATTTCCTCTAAAAGTATGAAAAAAGACGTGTTTGTCTCTAATTTTTTAATTATATTTATTTCAAAATATTAGATAATATAAATAACTTCTATACCCCTACACACTATTTCTCTCCCATCTATCTCCGTACGCTCCCTCTCCCATCTCTATTGCAAGAATGGACTTACCGGCGATGACGGAGTAAACGGCGTGAAGAGCAGCGGCAAGCAAGGGACAGCGACTGGCAAAAATCTGACCGACGGCGAGCACTGTTTTATGGTGTGGCGAGCAAGTAGTATATCGAGGCTACCGATGCAGTGGACTGAGAGGTGAAGCGGCAGCGCAAGCGGCGGCAGAGGGACATGGACATGGAGTTTCCGGCAACCCACCACCGCACCACTGCCTAAGCTATTCAAGAAACCCCAATTTCTAATTTGAGGTCTGCAATTTCGAAACTCTAATTTGATTTGTTTAATTTTAAAACCCCAACATGGAATTTCTGCATAGCCTCCTCCTACATGGATCTAATTTGATTTGTTCAATTTTTTGGTGTTCTTATCATTAGAAAATTATAAAACACTAAAAAGAAGAGGAGGAGGAGAGAGCTACATCCTATTTGTAGATCTGTTTACAAAATTCATGCTCTTGTTACTTGATATATTTTTAGCAAAAAGCCCTTTTCATTATACAAAGAGACAAGCAAGAAACCAAAATGTTTTCTACTTTTTAATGGAAAGACGGAGAGAGAAGTAAATATAACTCTAGAGAGAGATCAGACCTACACAAAGAGACGACACAAAGAGTCAGTTGGAGCTAATTTTACTGTATATGAAAAAGGAAGGGTAAACATGTCATTTGAATAGTTAAACGAAAATCAAATGAGGGTAAACATGTAATTTTAATTATTAAAGAAATAATTTAGTGAGTCCAACCAAAGTCAAAGAGTAAGAATATCTTTTTACACGTAAAAAGTGGTCTGACACACCTGTTAACTAATTTTTAGGGTGTAAGTTAACTAACTTTTAGGGTGTAAATAAAAAACGGAGCAAACGTGTATAATGTGAGTAATAGTTATTTTCGAAAAATGTTTTAGATTGATATTTGGCCAAACTTCAGAGGGTGTCAGTGAAATTATCCCTTTATACACCCATATTCATCTTTCATATTACACAGTTCCATTACACTTTTCCCCGCCAACACGAAACTCTAGCTAGATAGGTGATTCAAAAAGCCAACTTCCCTTCCAACCACCTGCGATCTCCAAACAACTTATTCGAGCCAAAAAGTGATCCAACTGAAGTTGCTAATGGAGAAAATCCCTACAAAATACAAATAATCCTACAAAAGTTCCAACAGTGCACAACATAACCTTCTTACGCTTAAAAAAAAGATCCCCGTAAAATCTATTTTTTATCCCCACAAAAACTAGTACACAAACAATAAATTATCAAAGAAAACACTTATATGGCTTACAAAAATGAAGATTATTGTTTAATTACGAAGAGTGTTTTCAATTATTAAGATAAAGAAGAGTGTTTTCAACCAAATGGAACAAACGTTTATTTTTGCAATATAACGCCATTTGTTATAGTTTTTTGTCTGCATAACTCGAACTTCTGACATTTAGGAATATTATTAGTGCTAACATACTTCCTTTAATCAAAAGAAGTTTTGTTTCTTTTATTTTCTTATGGTAAGAAGAGAAGCACGCAATCAATTTTCAGCATAAATGAAGTAAAAAACTTCTCTAGAAAGAAATTCAGAACAGGGTATACAAGGCTTAGAATAAAATTCATGGTTGACTCTTTCAAAGTAACCGAACTACCCTTAGCACAGGGATCCCACCTGAAGCTTCAATCATTGAACCTAACAGCCGCTTTTCCAACCATTTTGACAGGCAAAGCAAATCCATAATAAGGAATTTCTCTTATATTTTTTGTTTAATAATAGAACACATTTCTCCTGATAAGAAATCAACACAGATTCAGAGTTACTGAATCAATCAGAACCAGTAAGTCACCGCATTGTAAGCCATATATAGATGATAAAATAAATATACAACCTTTTTATCGGTTTTCACATAAGTTTTGTTTCTTTTATGTGAAGAGTTTGAAGTCTATACATTGTAGGCTTCATCATTTTCATATGTATGAAAATAAAAATAAGCACTACAAAAGTCTCAATACTGCACAATATTTTCTCCTCCTTCACGTAAGTAACCCAAAATTTTCTTCTTAAAAATACAGGTCATTTTCAAACAGATGGAACAAAGATTATTTTTATACTCTTAACACCATTCTTTACAATTGTTTTGTATGTACATACCCAAACTTCTTATACAAAAACTCCTTTATGTAACCCCTTCATAAAAAGGTAAGAGAGCAAAACAGAGCACCCATTTTCATTTACACTCTAACACCATTCTTTACAATTTTTTGTATATACATACCCAAACTTCTTACACAAAAATTGTTGGAAAAATTACTAGTACATCATTCCTTTACAGAACCCCTTCATAAAAAAGGTAAGAGAGTAAAAAGAGCACCCATTTTCATTTTTTTACCTCCACAAAAACCTATCCACAAACAATAAATTATGAACTGAGGCTAAGAAAACATAAAAACAATAAATCATGAACGGAAAACTCACATGGCTTACAAAATATTTGTACGTCGAATCAGACACTTCCTTCACACCATTCTTCAAACCTTTTGGGTATAAAACCAAAGTAAGTCTACAAAAGTCCCAAGGTTGCACAATACATTCTCCCATACTTAAAACCAATGTCTTCTTAAAAAACATGGCACCCATCTTCATTTATTACACCACAAAAACCTATAAAAAAATTTAAAATTTATATATATTGATATACTCACATTACAACTCCAAACAACAAAATAGTGTATCAAGAGAAAAACACACATTGATGTCACGAAAGGATGATCAATGTCTTAGGTGACTTAGAGCATTTTCAACAACATCACGTTCACAGTAAAGTTGAGAAGGAAGATTACCATGATTCCTCAATTGATTATTGATTTTTTTTTTGTTTTTTTTTTCATATATGGATATTTGTATTTGTTTGCCCCATACACCTTCATTGTTTCAATCATGCAGCCCAGCAACGTTAAAAAAAAACATCATCAAGAGTTTCCGTCGATAATTCATTGAAAGATTTTTCTACTGCATCTACCAACTCATCAACGGTAGTAGGAGCTTGTTGGTATTGAAGCTATTGGATTGCTCTAAAATATCCAAGATCAAGAACAAT